GCAAACATGTCGTTCGCCAGGTACAGTGTCGAACTCGCTGGCTCCTTGCCAAATACGCGGACGTGAGTTTTTATTACGCGTGATACGGGGGTACCGTCAGCTGGGATGATTGTCAACAGTGACGAGCATTTAATCGGATCAAACGCTGTTCGAAAACACGTGAAACGTGCTGAACTGGCCTTCGTGTATTACGGACTATTTTCGAATCTTGACTTCAAAGATTACAAAGTACACATGCCATTTTAGAGCAACATACTCCCTGGTTCGGTCTGAGCGCATATTTTGTTTTTGGAAAAGATGCTGCGCGGTACGTTCGAAATCGGTTACGTATTACCGATGTGCAAATTAGTGGAAGAATTTTTTCTCTTTTCAGTCTATTCACAGAGTACACACAAACCACCACTCTAACACAACATTTAAGAGATAATCCCTGTTATTTCGCGCTCACTTTCTATTTTGCATCCATGCTTAACCATGACATCGATTTATACCGATTGCATTCTGCAGCCATCGATAGACCAAACAGGTGTGGGCGAAGTGGCTATTCGTCGAACGTAAATGTGGTGTGCAATGCTAAACTTGTAAGGTTCAAATGAACGGGCTTAGAGGACTACCAGATAAGCCAATTAGATAACTCTCCTGATCTGGGGTTCCGCGCCAGTTGCCTCTTCATTAAGGGTGCAATACATATCGGAGCTAAGAAGAGAGCAACTAAAAACCAAACTCAATCTCCATCGCTGACTCAGAAAGACTGAGGCGGTTATTCGCATTACTCGGGATACTCGATGCAAAACTGGGGCTTTATTCTAAGGCACTGGAGGATTCAAACACAAAGAATTCAACAACCTGGACTAAAGTTGATAAAGAAATTCATTCGCTGAGCGATTACCTCGCACTATTCGTCCCGGATCCGCCGGCTGGGAGGAAAGTCATAAAGCTCTCTAACGCATCAATAAACACCACCACAGTGTCTTTAGTGGACAGGCGGTTAAAGGAGAGAAAAATGATAATCCGGGGGTCATTCTCCGGAAAAATCACGCCAACGAAGCTGACGCAATCTCTGCTTACTAGTATCTTTACTGAGCCTGATGACCGATCCCACGTGGAAGGGTTACGCCAGAAAGGAAGCAAGCGAGCACTTTAATTAACGCTCCACTGGGACATAGCGGCCACCGTTTGTTAACCTTTGATTTTATCTTCTATTGGGCCAGAAATCCCAAACCTTAAATGTGGTTTCCAGACTTCTGCCGTGCAGACTTTTCGAGACTTTTTCAATGGAAGAATTCTATAGGACCATTGTCCAGAAAGTTCACGAGGCTGACGTGATGTTCGACGCAAAATAACCAGCATGCAGCCGCCTGAGTCGCAGGCTGCATGAAAGAACTGGGCGACTTCTCAACTTTTTTCCAAAAATTCGACCACAGTAGATACAGAAGATGAGCAGGCGTTTCGTAAAATGCGGAACCGGTGTAACTCAGAAATTTGCCAATAGAACAGGCGGAAACAAGCCACCATTCTGGGCCTCGGTAGGAAAAAATTGTGCTGTTCGAATACATGCGACATCGCCGCAGAAACAAGCCGTCCGCGTTCTCCTCGAGGGGCAAGAACGGAGAACCCATGAGTGACACAACAGTGGTATCTGAGATTTAGAGACAACATAATGCAGGTCCATATTCAGCCTCAGCGTACTCGTCACATTCACTCTCGTCAAGGAGTAACTACGAACAGCCTCTAACCGACTTAGTCTTCACGGTGGAGAACATCCGTCAACTCTTGCACAGGATCAGCCCATTCTGCGCGTTGGGGCCCGACGAGGCCTATCCAAGGATCCTGAGGGTTACGTCGTCTATGCTGGCTAATCATTTATACCTGGTGTTTTGCTGGTCGCCCAACGAAGACCGCCTTTCCTTTGCTTAGAAGGAAGAAATTGTCACGCCAGTCTCCAAACCTGGTGACCGACTACCGCTTTGCAGCTACAGGCATATAAGCCTCACTAGCGTGCCGCGCAAGATGATGGAACGCATTCTGAAGCAAGCTGTCCCAGGTCACCTTAATTCCAGCGACCTAATATCTGTAGCTAAACACGTATTTCTCCCAAACCGTTCTTGCGTGACAAGCATGCTCGTGTTTATGGACAGTTTAACCCAAGCTAAGGACGAGGGACTTATATCGGATACCATAATTTACGACCTCTCAAAACCATTTGATAGGAGTCCACACGTGCCGCTGCTCCACAAACTCGGGTCTTACGGGATTCAACGGACAATCCTACACTGGATCAAGGCGTTCCTATCAGACGGACTATTCCGAGTGAGAATAGGCTCGACTTACTCTTCTCCAGCATCGGTCTCCATTGGAGTTCCTCAATGCTCTGACCTGGGACCACNAGGCTGACGTGATGTTCGACGCAAAATAACCAGCATGCAGCCGCCTGAGTCGCAGGCTGCATGAAAGAACTGGGCGACTTCTCAACTTTTTTCCAAAAATTCGACCACAGTAGATACAGAAGATGAGCAGGCGTTTCGTAAAATGCGGAACCGGTGTAACTCAGAAATTTGCCAATAGAACAGGCGGAAACAAGCCACCATTCTGGGCCTCGGTAGGAAAAAATTGTGCTGTTCGAATACATGCGACATCGCCGCAGAAACAAGCCGTCCGCGTTCTCCTCGAGGGGCAAGAACGGAGAACCCATGAGTGACACAACAGTGGTATCTGAGATTTAGAGACAACATAATGCAGGTCCATATTCAGCCTCAGCGTACTCGTCACATTCACTCTCGTCAAGGAGTAACTACGAACAGCCTCTAACCGACTTAGTCTTCACGGTGGAGAACATCCGTCAACTCTTGCACAGGATCAGCCCATTCTGCGCGTTGGGGCCCGACGAGGCCTATCCAAGGATCCTGAGGGTTACGTCGTCTATGCTGGCTAATCATTTATACCTGGTGTTTTGCTGGTCGCCCAACGAAGACCGCCTTTCCTTTGCTTAGAAGGAAGAAATTGTCACGCCAGTCTCCAAACCTGGTGACCGACTACCGCTTTGCAGCTACAGGCATATAAGCCTCACTAGCGTGCCGCGCAAGATGATGGAACGCATTCTGAAGCAAGCTGTCCCAGGTCACCTTAATTCCAGCGACCTAATATCTGTAGCTAAACACGTATTTCTCCCAAACCGTTCTTGCGTGACAAGCATGCTCGTGTTTATGGACAGTTTAACCCAAGCTAAGGACGAGGGACTTATATCGGATACCATAATTTACGACCTCTCAAAACCATTTGATGGGAGTCCACACGTCCCGCTGCTCCACAAACTCGGGTCTTACGGGATTCAACGGACAATCCTACACTGGATCAAGGCGTTCCTATCAGACGGACTATTCCGAGTGAGAATAGGCTCGACTTACTCTTCTCCAGCATCGGTCTCCATTGGAGTTCCTCAATGCTCTGACCTGGGACCACCGCTGTTTCTGATGTACGACAGCGACCATCGAGATGCTCTTGCAAGTCCATGTCCGCTTTTTGCAAAAGGCATGAAATCTTGGAGTTCCAATGCCAGTACCCTCCAAATGGATGTAGACGCTGCAAAACAGTGTTCGTTGGACCGGCACCTTTCTCTGAATAACAAAAAGTGCGTCCATGTGTGTAAGTTGAAATAGACCCAGCGAGAGTCATTGCCATGCATGGTGAGAAAGTATGCTAACGACCAAATTTTGTGTTATCTGATATGTTCTCCATGGGAGATAAAGAGTCCTTGCAATTTTAGATCCATACCCATGCCACCTCAGGTGTGATGAAGTCTACTTCGTTAGTGACCACTGTTTACGTCACCGTCCCTTTTCCAGGAAATTTTCATTAATCGCAACCCCAATTAGTCATGCTCCTTTTCTGACTGTAATACTATGCTCATGCCTGACGGTATGCTACCCACTAGTTGGGAATACATATTATTATTATTATGACGTCATGAGGATAGACGCCAAAAATAATTTGGGTATCTGGCCCTCATCAAACTTGTTCTTCTCGCTGCAGCATGAAAAATGAGCCAAAAGGGCATTCAGCATTTTACGCACCTTCTCCCGTATCACTCAAATCAACGTCCTACAGCCTACGACCGACTGCTCCTGGAACACGTCAACCAAGTTGTCTACTCAGGAAGCGCGAAAGACGTCACCCTCATTGGGCGTGTCCAGCCAGCCGCTACGAAAATTGTTGTCGGCTTAAATCCGCGGGCTACAAAACCCATCTCGCGATGCTTTATCTCTTTCCTCTGGAGTATCGTCGCCTCCGAGGGGACCCTTACTTACGCCCTGTTTGAACAAAGCTTGGCAAACAGGTTTTTTACCGTTGACCCAACAAACACACGGCTGGGACATAGTAGGAAAATTTTCAAACTCAGAGCACATACATTCATTAGGCAAAAATTTTTCTCACTTCGGGTAGTAGGTGCGTGGAATGACCTTCCTCCGACGGTTGTTCACGCTCCTTCTAGAACCCAGTTTAAAGCACTATTAGACACTTTTTTGCAAATCCTCGCGCTGGCAAGCATACTGGCTCGCGCTGAGAATGTAAAGAGCAGTGCTACACCCTTTTTTCACTTGTGCCTTTCAGGGGAACGACGGCCACCGACCGATAAGAACAAAAGTGACCCGGGAAACTTGGGCAGTATCCTCGATCCTGTGTATCAATCCGTGAATCCGTGAATCCGGGTCGCTTGCCAGACAACCATCACGGCGAGCTCTGATTGGCCGAAAATCTAGACCCAATAACCGACCACGATTCAGTATCTGCCGAATGCGGATTGAGAGTGTGTAGCGACTGCCGGTTTGATTGATTTATGTGTAGGCATTGATGATGTACAACCTTGCGTATTGGGTTTCATCTCATGATCTTTCTTTCTGTCTTCCATCCACAAAAATTGTCGTGAACACCTGTCTTCGGAGAATCACTGTACCTAGGCGCTTCCGTAACGAGCAAACTACATACTTGGCAACCTTGCCAGGATGGTTACCACACAGTGGTGGACCTACCACAAAGACGCTGGCTCTACACATGGGCATTCAGGCCTCGGAGCTAGCAAGTTACCAAATATCGCACGACGGACGCAGCCCCCAGACAGCAACATTGCACACGCTCACCAGCCTCACGGGACACCAGTAGCACTGACCGGTTCGTGCACGTCATGATGCACCAGGGACGGTGTTCTTCCAAAGGGCGACCAGTGTAGTATACGGGGTCTGCTTGTTTGCTCGACTTATATTGGTGTTGTACAACCATGCTTATCGGGCTTCGGCTCATGAGCTCTCCTTCTGTTTCCGATTCACAGAAACTGCCTTGAACACCTACTTTCGGAGAATCGCTGTCCGCCGGTGCTTCCACAGCGTGCATACTACGACAAGAAGATCTCATAATCTCCGTATACACTGTAAACAATGGGGGTGCGATGGCTCGGTGATTAGAGCGCGAATTTACTGACAGGAAGGTTCAAACCTGACCCCTGCCTCTCGACTTCCCCTGTCTAGACTTGGGCAACCTGGCAGTATCCCAGCCCTCGTGCATGCTTCGTGTGGTATGGCAGCTAGGCACCAAAAGGATGCTACAGCTGAACTATTTATTTATTTTTATTGCACCGAAAGGTTTCTACGGCTGAATGATTTCATAAACGACGCACAGCACATGTATTTTTTAACCTTGTTTCATGTGATGAATCACATTGTCGTTTTGACAAATACGCTAAGCCGGAAGATTCAGATCGGGAACCAAGCTGAGAAAATACCGTTATTACACCCAGAAAACCACCGGTGAGCGAAACCATCAGGGATCAAAATGGAGCGGCCATCTTGTACAAAAATGCCTCAACCGTTGAGCCAAACACTCCGATCAACTGTTATCATAGCCACCAACTGTCACTCATCTGGAGGCTACAGCTGACGTAGAACCCTGGATGGTCACCGTGGAACCTCCTACTGTCTCGGAGGTCCATGAAGCACCACCAAGTTTCTGGTCCGGATTATCTCCCACTCGCATTTTTCAAAGTGGGGATAAAGTCCTTAGCGCTTGTCTGATCTGTTTGCCTGCATTTGGAAAAAGGGAACTGCTCCAGACGACTAGAGACCCGATGGCAGTGCCCACTTTCGAAAAAGGGGCTCGTCGTGTGTGGTAATAACAGGGGTCAGCTTGACCCCGGCGTCACTTGTGCTTCGTTGCTTTATGGCGGCTCGTCAAACACTGACTCGAGAGTAGCAGTCGTCTCGGAACGTCTTCTTCGCCCGATTCAGAGTGGTGGGAGCAGAGAAGTCGCCAATATCTGGTCTGGCAGAGGGATATGTTAGAGATTTGGAGACGCTTGTGCGCTGTCGGTGCTGCTCGCCTTCCTGGATGAGGGACCGTATGATCCCCATTGCGCTTGGTTAGTGTTGCTGCAAGCTATAACTCTTTATCGATGTCAGTGATGGAGAAAAGTGTTACTATGACTCACATTTGCTTATAGTTCAGTCAGACGGAGCATCTCAACATTATCCTCTGGAAAACTAAGCTTGGCATTGAAAATTCACGATCGGCCGCCATATCATTGGGAATCGGTACTTCCTAATGCTGTACACAGCTTCTGGTCAGTGTTATGTACGGCCACCAAGTGTAGTCCACTCGAACGTTTGTTTCAATACACACGTCGCTCAATCCTTGGAGTTGCGTTTCCATAATGGTTGACCATCAATAGTCTAATCATGCTGCAGCTAAGTGATAGGTCATCAAATTATCCACTGCTGGTAGAAGTCGACCTCCTAAATTGCAACTCCCGCTCTGCACACAGTGCTCATGGAGACGAAAGGGTCGAAACTGTATTCCCTCGGCTTCTAGCCCCCCTTCATGGTTAAGAATACAATTGTTCTCAGTCTGTCTGAATCTAATGAGCACACCGAACACCCAGATCTGGCTGGAACGGCGGAATGTCAGTACGACAGCTACCTCTCTAGAACAACATCGACGCGTTCATTCTTACAGTTGAAGCCTTACTCAGTACATCATCTCCTATTTACGTTAGTTCATGTGTCGGGGTGAATTTCATGATTGTTGTCTTCGCATTATTATAATCATCCGACATACTCATACTGAATTCTCGTATCTACATGTGAGACAAGGAAAGCATAGTTTATTATCGATAACTCGGACGCATTTTTAACGTTTCAAGTATGTCATTAGTCTTCGAGTCGTGAGCAGGATCTTTTCACAAAGGTCAAGTGACAACCATCGGAGACAAAAACTGTTAACACGGCACACGCATGTTGGCTTTCGTTTTAGATCCGTCACAGATGCAAACGCTGAAATAATGACTAAACGTGTGCTTAGGGAACGTGGTGGAGCGTAGTAATGGGTTGGTGTTTGTGCAACGCACTGATGATGTCACCCGACTGGTGATGAAACGTTTGCAGTCAAATTGCTCAGCTCAGCGAACAAACCAACGACCGTTTATGTCACCTGAGCTACCAACATTCTTCTCTATAGTCTAAGCTCCCCTGACCTGAGAAAACGGGGTTGATTAGTATTAATTACCGGCGGTTGGCCTTCTATGTCACCTGAGCTACCAGCATTCTTCTCTATAGTCTAAGCTCCCCTGACCTGAGAAAACGGGGTTGATTAGTATTAATTACCGGCGGTTGGCCTTCACAGTCTCAGGACACAGTGCTGCACTGGTGCCTCAGCAACCTGGATTCATTCACACACGTCCGACAGCTTGAGTCAAAAGGCAATAATATTAGGTGAAAACCCACTACTTATTGAGGTAGCCAACATCTAGGAGAATTGTTTTTGTCTCGCAGAGCTTTTTAATGCTGTATGACCAGTCTAGCTGGAATGCTCCGAATTCCCATGAGAATTCCAGCACTAGATCCTCTGAGAATGTAAAAGTTTCTCGAATGCATAGGTGCCTCTCATTGGGGTGTTTCTTGCCTAAGGTATTCATAAACCAGTAATCCTGGAACCAACTGATTTCAAGATTGGTTTACTGGATACCTTGATGCAACCAGGGCCGTATATATCTCGAGGTAGCCCCGCAGTTAGGGAGCGAACTTACTGGCCGAAGGGTCCGTGATTCAAGCTCAACATTTTTACATCTCAGCTGCTCCTGTCTAGATTCGGGCAATCTGGCAGTGTATTACGCCTATTGCTTCCCTCGGGTTGCGTGGCAGCGAAAGGGTATTACAGCTGAACGATTATTATTATATCGACATGGAGTTTCTAAAGTTCGTGGTTCAAATGCAGTTTTGGCTTTTTGACTGTTCTTGTTCAGGCTTAGACATCCTGACATAATCTCGGTTGCCATGCTTCTTCCAACCTGTTCTGCTTTTATGTTATTTTGTATCCTTATAATGTTGCGTTTTGGACCAAGAACGCTACAACCCATCGTTTTAGAGCAGATTTGGCGGGATACCGTTGCCTCCAGGTGTCCATACACAAATTTCCAATCTGGCCTCCACAAAACATTTAGCTTGGATTTCCAGAAAGGTGCCGCGAGATATGATTACGGATAACTTAAACACACGCCTCAGTGGCTCCTGGTCTATGGAGTGGCTTCCGGAACTTGCCGAAGCGGGCTTACCTCCTTCATGCACGTAAATTTCACGTGTCAGTCCGATGGAATGTACACTCACAGTTATCATTCAGTTTAGATGCTTGAGCAGCATCATTTATATCCAAATCCCTCATATACCTTTTCATTTTTTTTAAAAAAGCATTGCTCTTGTCCTTCCTGTTACGGCTATCAAAAAGCTCTACCAATTCCCCCCATTCGGCTATGGATTTGTTCCATCATGACGAAATCACAGTTCACCTCCTGGACGCACGCGTCAAATGTGCATGTGATGGTTGCAAACAAGAGTCTGTCGGAGATGGTGTAACTTTTGTACTTTTCGAGAAAGAAGTATGGCTAGAACGTCTGAATGTCAGCGATGCCGTGAAGCGACTAAAGGTTCGTTTTTCACACCATTGCCCCTGATCTCTCGATTCGATAGAGTCTTAACCCTCACATATCAGTCACTAATTTGGATATTATTGGAAGTATCAGAGACTGCCTTCGTGGGAAGTTAAAAATAGTGGAGCGAAGCCCAGTCGAATTGTGTCTCTTATTCGAATGTGCATTGGATGATGCCCGATTGTCCTGGCGGATCAGTGCGCACAGAGGTGCCGCTTCAACGGTATTCTGCTTGTTTATCTAATGAATCCTTACCCAAGGTTTTGCGTCACCTGGTTTTGCCACTAGCCCTAGCGCTTGAGGCATCATGCAACCGGGAACGGCTACTGTTGGAAACAGTAAAGAAACTTGGCAAAGCCTACGCAACCGGTAAACTAGAGAAAGGCTCCAGTGGTAAGCCACTCGTTAGTTTGGTAATAGAATTTTGGCTAAAATAGAATTTTAGCGGACCGTGCAATGCATTCTTTGAGCGCGATTGAGGAACATTTGGCAAGTCATTATGTAAGTCTGTCACTGCACCCATATTGTTATCGCATACACCCCTTCCGGCCTCCATTAGCAGGCGACTTTACCGTAAGAAGCTCCATTCCGGGGCTGTAATTAATTTGTGATCATGTAATTTGACCTAACACGTAGTACCAAGCCCCTCGCTGAATTTGCATGCGTTTGTTACTCCATTTGTTTTTTTTCAAGTAAAGTTTCCGCAGTGTGGTGGGAGCCAAGTGCTGGATGCCACTCTTTACGGTTCCAATAAAGGGGAAACCGAGCGTTCAATGTCTACGCAACGGCCGTTCCCATACAGAATTCCTTCAAACCAAGTACTATTCTTTATGCCTGAAATCTTAGCCTAGAAGCTATCTATAGTAAAGGTCAGGCTACGGATGTGACCCAGAGCAGGTGGTTAGTTTTATTTTGGACACTTATGTGAAACATGCATTCACATACCCCTGAATTTCTGAGCAGAAGTAGCGGGCAGGGTATCGATCCCAATGGTCTTGCGGGCACAGGGCTGGATGCAGTTGTACAGTGCTGTCAGGTGCAACCGGGAAACAGTACTTGAGTATCCGGTTCGGTTGAGAGAGAAAAAATAATTGTCATAGAACCTTTTGACGAGCAACTCTTTCAGATGTTTTAAAATTTCTGTTCTCGTTAGCTGACTAGTTGTGTTCACATCACTCACTTGAACAGCCCCCACGTTCTCCAGTAATTATTCTAGTCCGTCTAAACCAAAGCAAGGAATCCTAGAAGTCTAGTTCCACTCTCGTTAGAGCCAATCGGTAGTGTATTTTCTTGGCCAGTAATTTGGCGCAAATGTGTTGTCATTATTCCTCCGCACGTAAATTATCATGCCTTACCAGACGAATGTGTTCACTCATTTGTTTGCTTCGTCCAGCCCCTCGAGATCTTGGGATAAGTCATTCGGATTTCATCTATCTGACGATAAAGGTTGCTTTTACGCGGTTACAATGTTAGACTTGGACACACCTCTAAGCTACGCTTGTATATCTTCGTTTCTTTAGCGTGATATTCCCAGCTTGCAGAAATAAAGCAGCCAACTGTTAGGATGTTTTGCATAGATGTAAGATTTCTTCGCCTCTTTCAAACTTTAACCGTCATATTTGCGCTCAAACTGAAAGATTCTCTACTTTTTTCCCTGGTTCTTTTAATTTAACTGAGATCTATTGAAGCCTGAAATATACGCCTATCGAATGAGTTGGTAGGTTGTCGATAGGTTTTGCCCAACTATACCGTACTGCATACAATAGATAGCAGTCGGTATTTTGAGTGTACGTCAAAATTCCACACTGCCACCCTCGAATCATCATCATTGACTGTGACATCAGATGAAAATACTGCAAACCCACTTCCGTCAATTAATTTAAATAAAATCTCATAATGGAAAGAAGAAAGTGGAACAGGGAGAGGGCCTATGGCTAGCTTACACGAACACCCGAGTTCCTTAACCTCCAACGCTAAGTTACCAAGCGCGAACACCACTGACATCAGTTATCCGCCATACCGTCCACTGGCTACAGCCAAACACAGCGAGGATCACGTGCACCCCGTCCTGAGAGACGGGCAGCACCCTTGGCACCCGAACTTTTCGTAGCATCTTTGATTCCCTTCTGCCATGTTAAATTCTCTATGTTTCTGCCACTCCAAACTAGACTCAGGAAACAGCGCTTGTCTTAGTAGGAAGTTACTCGACACGCGTAACATATTTGCGTTGTTGGATGTATTCTTTGGGAACGTACCCTCTGCTTCTTCAAAAACCCCTCTCATTGTTACTTCATTTCGAATTTGTTGGTTCCAGTCGATTTAAGCTATAGTTCTGAGCAATCGGCGGTCAAAGACTGAAGGTGTCTCACATCCTCCGCCTAAAGTTACCAAGCATCGCAGCCGTACAACAATTCAACCCGAGTCCTTTCAGTCCAAGTGACATGCCTTTTTTGACGCCACAGGTGACACAAACTCCGAGGTTCATGCGTTCACTTCGTTTGTCACATTACCGTTTGAGCTAATGCTACTTCCACAATTTCCAGTTTTTGAACGAAGGTTTCCTCCTGTGAGGGAGGCCAATATATTCTGGAAAGCGGATGAGTACTGTACAGCTGCCTCATTTTTGTTGGGAATCCTGATCAGCGCATCTCACGAAACCCCTGAGTCTCGAAACCATCGCTCTGGAGTTTGGTGGGATGCGTACTGTTGAAGATTTTAAATAAGGATAAAACAGCTGCATAGTGCTTTTTGGCTCTTCAACATAGATTGGTTCCACTTACATAATGAAATCTCCATTAAAATTCCAAACTCTTTCCACTCTGTTTTGCTCCTTGAGCTCCTAGTTTAGCTAGCCTCGCTGCTATCCCACCCGATGGAAGCACAAGGACTTGGATACTGTTAGGTTGCCCAAACCAAGACAGGGGAAGTCGAGATGCAGAGAACCACGGACCTTCCGTCCAGTAGATTCGCTCTAACTTCTGAGCCATCTCAACCAGAGGGATGTTCAAAGCGCTCATTTGCACCTTGTGCGTGAAGCACCTTCCGTAGGACTGAATGGCCTCAGTCAGCTTTTTAACATTGTTTGTTATTCCTGCTTTTCCAAAAATTTATTATGCCTATTCCAGCTCGACAAGGCTCTCATTCAGAGAGATCTGAATAGTATAGTATAGGAGACAATCGTGTCCACCTTACTACCTCGTCAAATGGATTCACCCTTGCGGGACACAATTGCTTGCAGGATGGCCTTTGGATAGCTCCCTAGACACAAACGCTCTCACAATTATGTGAATACAAACAGTTCTGAAATTCACCAACTTCTGTAGCATACGCAGCTGCACAAAAGTGTCGAAAAGAACTAACCAGCGGACAGAAATAAGGTACTCTTGAAATCAAAGAACACCAATCTTGTAGGGCACCTATACACATGCAGTTGCTCCGGTACTTGATAGGCTTTAAAGATGTGGTCCACACGGCCTCTTCTTGGTGCTAATCCTGTTTGCTGTTCTATAGTCCAGTCCTCTGTTAGAGGACGTAGAATAAGGGATTCAGTTTGTAGTTACAACAGGGCTCAAACTAATTCATCAATGGCCGCGATACTCACTACAATTACCCTTTTTGAAAATGGCACCACTGTTGACTTACCCCATTTGGTTGAAACGGTTTCTTCCAGAAAAAGCAAATAAGTTAGACAAGCATCGACCGAGGATTTCAATCCCGTCTTTAAGCAGACTAGGTAGATGTTCGTCAGGATCAGCAAGTCGGTGATGCTTGAGAGACAAGCGGCATTCGATTGTATCCGAATCCGCGAGGGCCCCAAGTTCACTGACTGCTACTACGTTGTGTCAGGAATCTGGCTGGGCAACTGCACCGCGTTGTCGAACGTGTCCGACCCAAAGATTCAGACGTTATTTTTTAAGGGCAAGTGAGCCGTTTTTGTTAATGATAGTTCCGCTCACCAAATACCTCTTTCGGGCTGTTGCACGTATCACCTAGAACAGTTTACGCACATTCCAAAGGTTCCTCACCTCCTCCACATCTATGGCTTTCCGGATCCACCAGGGTTCTCTATCCGCGTAGATGCTCATTTTCACCTGTAGTCTGACAGTTTGTCGAGTGGTTTTGTGCTCGACCGAGAGGGATATGTGTGCGGACTTCGAGCAATTTTAGTGTCGCTGAAAATCCAGTGGCTAGATATAGTTGGCTAAAAGACTCCACAAGCAGAGGGTCCAGCTTCTTGCAGGTTGGCAGGTTGGTTTTGTATATGCGCTAAGATGTTGTCATGGCGCCTATACCTAGACAGGCGGACGAATAAGATCCACATTCAAAGTATTTGGCTCAAAAGCTTAACAACAAGGTAGCAGTGTTTGGTGTAAGACCATAAGATTAACCCAAGTTTTTGAGGAACAGGTAATCAGACATATCCAAACCCCCAACCTGGAGGACCAGTAGACTGTGTTGGACCTTCACCCATTGACCAGCCTGGTATGGGGGGATCTGAAGTGTCATACATACACTCCCTGTTTAGCTCAATGGGTTATGGATCTGCACAGGCCGTAACAACTCTGTAAGGTCGAATCGATTCGTGACAGTCCTGTTCGAGTACCGTTTTCATGAAGAATGAAACGCCAGACGCCACTTGCTGCGTGTTTGTGACAGCAACTGTGCATATGGCAGAACAGCTGACACAGTGTGACTAAGAGAGCCATCTTTGAAAAACTCTCTCTCGAGAGAGAGAGTTCTATGCTGTATAAGTAGTCATTACTGGAAAAGTTAACTTTTTGGGTGGATTTCTGTATAGCAGTTGGTTGGAATCACAAAGCGGGGACTAATCTTTTGGTAACACACTAATTTACCATTAACCCCCCCCCCCACCCATTGAGAAACCAATTAAAGGACAACCTGTCTGATTAGACTGACCATCATGCCTCCCATAGCTATCATCGATCCTGATTCACGACACTGAAACACACCTTGTGATACAATTGGAGAGCCTGAAGACCTCTGTTAAAATCCTCTGATTTATTGAACGATGCGGGTCTTTTGCTCCAAGACATGTGCTAATTACGGATGAACTCATGTCAGGAACACAGTTGTTTTGGTGACCCATACACTTGACCTGTTGGACACTTCGTGTATAAAACCTTTAATGAGTTTACTTACACTGGATTCGACAGTTCATGTACACGCCCTGTCTTTAGGTGGACCAGTCTTCTAAGTGGATAGTCTAGGTGTATTTAAACGCTCTTCTTATGAGGATTCAAGGTCGGGTTCAGTGATCATGCTTATTCGTCTCCTGTGACTCAGGATATTGACTAGTATACTATGACGTTAAATTTGGTTAATTGTACATCAGACTGCGATATCCGCAAGTGGTTAGAGCGGAAGGTCCGTGGTTCGAATCCGACCTCTGCCTCTCGGCTTCCCCTGTCTAGGCTTGGGCAACCTGAGAGTATCCCAGCCTCCGTGCTTTCCTTGGGTGGCATGACAGCTAGGCACCGAAAGGGTTTTACAGCTGAACAGACTTTTTTTTGTTTTATTCGAACTCGTTCACAGCTTCCTGATATACCGGCGCGTTGTTCATACTCCCGATTCATGCACTCTGATTGATTCCTTTTCAATAGCCCTCTACTGACTGCATTAGAAAACAAGACTATGCCTTGACTTTGTCGTCACCAGCTCAGAAACTTTTGGAAGAAGCCTGTCGCAAACTGTTTCCTGTTTCTGGTGAATTGAACTTTATCCGTCAGCTAAGCTGTTCTCTTTCAGACTACCATCTGTCTGTGGCCGAACAATGCACCACACTCGATTCAACGAGTTTAGTTGATACCAATGTAAGTCGCTTTTCTATTTCACTTCACATACAATGTTTCTTTGTGATTTAATGCATATGTCCATGTGACCGGTTTAAATCCCTTGTGTGATTAATAAATTTGGTTCGTACCTTGTTTTCTCCACTCTCTGAATGCATACCTTGTCAGTATTTCACACATGGGGGGAGTCGAGATGGCTCAAGTGGTTAGAGCGCGAATTTACTGACCAGAAGGTCTGTGGTTCGAACCCGACCTCTACCTCTCGACTTCCCTGTGTAGGCTTGGGCAACCTGGCAGTATCCCAGCCCTCGTGCTTCCTTCAGGTGGCGTGGCAGTTAGGCACCTAGTGACTTGAAGGACACCATCTGCAAACCAACTGTGGACTCATTTGAAACATGCGGCATTCACCTACCGTCAAAGAGCTTCGATTCGGGATTGTCATTCGTCTTGGAGTACGTTGGACTCCGATCGCGACAGCGTGCACGCTGGCGTATGTATTCACTCCCCCTCAGGAACACACCAGTTCATCGCCTGAAAGGCATCTCCTTAGCTCGACATTATCGAGTTGAGTTGTTTGAGAAGCTTCCAGGATACGACGAGTACGATGGTCGAGGTTTGGGTGGACAAAGTTGAGAAAGTCATGTTCGCGGCCTTCGAAACTGTCTTCTTGGAGTCGCTCGTACAGCTCAACAATCACTGGATCTCGTCGTGATCAGCAGCTCTGATTGGAACTTGGTGAACTACACCAGCAACGGACGAATATGATGATACTCGGCGAATAATGAAAGGCTTACTGATTGACAAAGCGCTGGTGGATCAAAAAAGCCCGGAAAATGGAAAAATCACTTGCCACAGGGAACAATCACTCCCCCCCCCATTCCGATCAACTGGGTGTTGGTGAAATGATCTCCAAAAGGTATAGGACCTAAATTCATTCACAAAAATGTCTTGAATGATGTTCCGAACAGTCTGAAGATTGACTCGGCTGTCCTCCATGAACTCGGTATGTGTGGCTGTATGTAACCCTGTTTGGCAGTTACTCACCGTCCTTCCATTGAAAACCGGATTTCCGTGCCACCAGTATGCAAGCTGAATTTCACCGAGGCGAGTAAAAATAGACCGGTAAGTTAAGGTTAACTCTCCTCGTTTAGGAATCCAGTTACAGCATCAACAAAGTAAAAAAGACGACGACCCATGCAAAGGAAAGAATGGGGAAAAATATCCCTATGTTGATGAGATGGTTAGCTGTTTTGACCCTCCTACTGTTTACACTATTTAAAGCGTGTGGACCGATAAAATGTCTTCGCTTGTAGGAACATCAGATGACGGTTTTTTGACTTAATACTTCCCGAGAAAGTGATATTTTGGAAGTGGCTATTTGATTCGAAAGCTCGTTCAGGTGGAAGAACACGTGAATTTATGTTGCCGAGGTAAAACAAAACCATCACGGTCTAAGGCAAGGCGAACGCCGTAAGAGAGTCTGCTCCACGTAAAGGCTACTTTAAACAATGAGTGTATACGCAGGAGGCCTTTTTGCTACCCACGAATGTATTTTAGACCCTAATCATCTGTTAGTACGCATATCTTTTACTTGGAAAACATCACCCGGATAGTGGGTTTACCTGCTCAACTGTTTGTTCCAATTCTTGTATACTTAATTTCTTCAAAAGCGGCTAAGTTTGTGTTTAGATGGATTCTTCGTTTGGTCTCGGTAGTACCTGTCAATATCGGAAGACAATATGGAAATCTTTCGAGGGCATTGTCGGACCATTGATCTAGTTAGGCCATTACCTTAAATTCTTTCATGTCCCACTCGTGTGTCGTACTGTCAGCAAACGGAACTGTAGTAGTTGGTACGTTGTTTTTTCTGATGAACTGAACTGAATTTTAACTCACTGAACCACTCAGTTCCACCTAAACGAACAGCTATGCGGGTGTGGACGCTGAAACTGTTGCAGAACTGCGGGAAGCAACGAACCGGAAAAAGGGACCCATGTCCAGCTGTCATGAGATGACTACACATCCCGTCATTCTAATAGTCCACATATGAACTCACTGCGGTCGCCAGCAGAACTGACACAATGTATATATACTCTGCATATGGTAGAACTTGTATTGGAACATTCGATCGTACCCTGGTCCGTATTTTCTGTTAGAGGCACTTACTTTCTGTATTGTGAGCTATACAGTGCCACCACTACCCGCCAACTTTGTGTTGAAGGCTTCTCCAAGAACCACGCACCTGGTTCCATTAAAAAAAAGACGATGAAGTTGTTCTCTCTAACCGGACTATGTTTAAATGTGGTGGCTTTTATTCTGTTGCTTTCGTGCCTGTTTTTACAGGCACATACTGAGGAACAGCGGAGGATGGAGCTGCAGCGGAAACTTGCTCGCGAACTGGAGAAGTCCAAATCAAAACGGAACAAAAAAGGAGGAATCCTGCGGAAATGAGTGGTTTTCATGCAGTCAATCGCATGCATGTGTTTCGCTATCATCACATAGTCCTGTTTGACTGATAACTTATACTTCATCTGTCTGACTTGGGAAATAATTCACTTGAAATCTATCCTGATTGTGTTTCTTTTGGTCAAGTTGGGTTGCTTGGTACCAGTTGTAACTTGTACTCTTTTGGCAACTCGGAATCCGCATAGGGTCTATCACAAAAGTAAATGCGCCTCAGACGACAATTGGCGTTCACGCGTATTCGATTCACTTCTAATAATCGTTGTCTGTAACAGTATTCCATCAGACGCTGGAGATCGAATACAACCGTATTCCAACCGGGATGAAGCACCAGCGGCATGTTAGTGGTGAAATCCCGAATACTTGTGACCCTGTTGAAATTGCTGGCTCTAAATCGCCTTCTGGTGCCACTGTAGTCGGTCACTTCGATTTGAAACGAGAAGTACCGGTTCATATTTTTGAACAGTAGTACGAAAATGGGCATTCGAATCCCCAGAGTTTCATCTGGATCGCTCGGGCATTCAATGTAAGTCGTGGTGACATTGCTGGAGCGAAGATCCAAAATCAAAGATCGAATATCTGGATCTGAAATGCGCCTAACCGTCCCTGCCTTTGCCGAAACTGCCCAGTTTAATAATGGCTTTTGTCCAACGCTGTAGAATATGGACAACAGTCCCGATTGGTACGCTGTTCTGTACATGCCGTCCTTGCCAAATTATCGGCCTTTCGGGTTGGATCACGACTGAGAGTTCAAATCAAATCGATAAGGTCAGCTGACCCATCGATAATCGGTGATGAACGGCTGGTGTGCGCGAGGTGGACCAAGCGCGAATTCACTGACCGGCAGGTCCGTGGTTCGAACCTGACCTCTGCCACTCGACTTCCCCTGTCTAGACTTGGGCAATCTGGCAGTACCCCAGCCCTTGTGCGTCTTTCGTGTGGCATGGCAGCTAGACACCGAAAGAGTGCTGCAGCTGAACGGTATATATATATATTGTGATAGCAACATGAAATTCGATGATGGAATCATCCATTGGAGTGATCTGCATGCGAAAAGTGTTCTCATGTACGCTTGGCATTCAGTCGAATAGTCTACTTCATTGGAACTAAAATTCATTTACTCTTAAAAGCCTGAAGTGGGCACACCAGCTCTCAGACACGTTTGGTATCAGATGAACCAATCCACTGGTTTCAGGTCAATGTCTAAATATTGAACATAATGATAGGAAAATATTCCAATTTAACTTATTTTTGGAAGGATGGGTCTGTGAATAGAACTGACATTTACTTGTTGGAAAATTCATGTCTGTTCACACCATGAAGGGAAATAAAATGGTCATTACACCAGCAGATTGGGTTCACAATTTACCGTTCTCACTGTGCCGTCTGCCCTCACGATGATGTCGCGGGCTGAAGTTCTATGTTACATTATTGGATTCCTTATGTCGAAAGAAGGTCGCCCCGTTCTGCCTCTTCAAGCTGCCCCGCTAACTCCTAACCGTAACTTTGGCCTGGATTGCTGTTTCAAAGTCACTCAAACCGCGACTTCTCAGGAAAACACAATTCTTGTTGCACAACCGCCATGGTGCCCCTCAAAAGTTTACTGCAATACTTAGTCCCCACTGCACTCCTCCGGTTGCGGTGCCCTATAACACTATGGAGGATTCCATTAAAAACCTATACAGATGTGAGGTTCGTAATCCATTGGGGTTTCCCCGCGTAGGTTCGGATACCATCCCCGTCGCCAGTATTGTAGTTCACAGTAAGTCGGAAGAACACGTAAGTACGGTGCATTGTGTACACGCGGCCAACTGCTCCTCTTTCGTGGTGGGTAAGCAAACAACTGAGTACATATCCAGTCAACCCATAGTACTCACGCGAGCCAACCAATCAGACACACCCAATCAGCCACTCAAGTCACTCGCCAGATCAATGGTGGAACGACGAACGGACACGCACACGCGCTAACTCTCCAACTCACCGAATCAGCTACTACAGTAAGGTACATGTGTACTAACTGCCGCTGTACCTGTTGAAAACCCATAACTCAGCTTGTCTAGACACGCCTGAAAGGGGATACTAATTGTTTATTCGTTCAGCTGCAGCTCCTGGCCATGAAGGTCAACAAACTTGTTTCGGCAAAAAGTCAGCTTAGGCGAGCAACATCCCGTTGCACGAACTCTCAGCGAAGGGTAAACAATACCAAATGTGAGCTCGTCTAAAGGAGGACACAAAATCGTTTCTCTTCTTGAAAGCGTTTCATAGGTGTACAGGAAATCCGTGTTCCTCATTATGGTAAGCGAGAGCAACGATTTCGGGGAAACTTACTGGGAAGAACATCGCAAATGGCTCCTGACGAATACGTAGGTTTAACTGCTATAGATTCCCGGCATGGTCCCTCTGCTGTGAAGGCGGAATTCGTAAACGAACTGGCGTATTTGTCATCCAGGCTTCTCTGTCCCGCTTGTTATGTTTGCATGAGTTTCCCTCTGGATTAACGGAGGCTTCACTGAGTCTTGTCCGAACTCGTCTTCCAAGCATTAAATCAAGTAGGTGTCCTCTTTTTGCACTATATGACGCGTTTCGGGGGCTACCAAGGCTGAAATCAGCGAACCCTACCGTGCCTCAACTGCAACCATACCTTTAACGGTCGAATCGTACGGACTGAGTTAGTGTCTGATGTCATTAGTGCCAAAGAACCAGAGAAACACTGCTTCAAGATTGAGGAAACAGTCCTTATTTGGAAAGCGGAGCCCTGCAGGACATCTAGGCCAGTTAACCACCGTTGTTGAAGTAATCTTACTAGACAGGAGAGATTCAAACTACCTAATGTAGAGGCACGTCTCATCCACCGTGTTCCTCTTTTGTGATGGTACCGTTGTCCATGAACCCACAATATCGATATCGTTTCTTGACTTTGGTCGCATTACATACCCAAGGGGCTGAATTCGCCCGTTCGTGCAAATGCTGGCATGCGTAAATCACAAACAGCGGTTTCCATACTGGATTTCAATGTCGGCCATCGACAGAAATGACTTATTTGCAGTTTTGTTCAAAGATTACAGGCGTGAACATACACAAGTTCAGGTGAAACTGGGCCCTCTGGCATAACCAAGCAATCCTCGCTCAACTTTCGGCCGCATGCACAAGTAACACGCAGCAATTCTGATGGAATCAGCGATATTCTCGCATAGATTTGTATTTTATATAGTCATGTGTGCTTTCAAGTCGACCTAATAATCGCTGTTTACGAACAAGATAACTTTCGTCTCCTCCAGATCATCATTCTTTTCGTGGTTTGCAAACAGAAGTCTGGATAGTTCATCAGCAACCCGATTCTGTGCTGGTCATAAAAAAAAAGATAAAGCGTTCAGCTGTAGCACCCTTCCGGTGCCTAGCTGCCATGCCACCCGAAGGGAGCACGAGGGCTGGGATACTGCCAGGTTGCCCAAGCCTAGACAGGGGAAGTCGAGTGGCGGAGGTCGGATTCGAACCGCGGACCTTCAGGTTAGTAATCCGCGCTCTAACCACTTCGGCCATCTGCTGGTCATAGGTCAAAAGCTAAGCATAGCCGACTAAACGTGGTGATTTTTGTCCCCTATTGACATGATCGAGCAAAGGTTTTAGTATGTACACCACAGGGATGGCCGAGAAAATCAATATGCCACTTTAAAAGACCAAGCACAGTAGTCGCAATCGGTGTTCGATGGGGTTCTCGAGACACAAGCAACAAAGTCCTCCCTGTTCTACAGCAGGAACGGGGCGGTATTCAAATCCGTATCATAGACAGCAGCCGCAGAATTTAGTTATCGATCTTTGGATTGTTGAACAGACACTCATTTGATCGCTACCCATCCGAACCTGATCATTTTTTGATTGATTTAGAAACAGTGACAAAGTTTGGCATTGCTCTGGGTCTGATTAGAACATAACTTGCGCAAACGTAGGTAGTCCAGGGTGTTCGGACATTGTGCCGGTGTTCGTCTCGTCCCTACATCGGGATCTATATGTCCATGAAACTCGATCTCTCTCACCTAGGTCGCGCATTTGCGAACGCTCAATACAGAATTTAGTTCATTTAGCCAATGCAGATGGTCCACAACCGAACTCATATGTCATCCATGTAAGCAGTACTAGCGTTCAGGTTTGATAGAGCGAAATTCTACCGCGCAGCAGGTTGCGGCTAGATCCCATTGGGAGGTTGTCTTGCGTCGGACGGGCAGTGTGCCGAGAGTCGGGAGTAAGTTTCATGCGAAAGTTCAAATTAAGAAAAACTAGATTTAAAAATTTTCTTACTACTTTCAGGCCCTTTTAACACTCGAAAACACTAATGTATCCAACTTTTTTGGAGTGCAACTAGTGCGACTTTTCCGCACGCCATTCGTACCACACCATCAGAGCCGACGAGGCTGGGTATGCCGGGGTATATGCCGAAATCAATAAAATCCGATCTGTTTTGTACACGAGCATTCTCGAGATATCCAAGCAATGCTGTTTCTGGGAGGGGTTGTGTACTCGTGAAATGCATGAAAAGAACCCCCAATCTAATAAAAATTGTAGTTCAACTGTTAACAGGGAGGTCGCTCGTTCAAAACTGAGTTTTTGAGGTGCGCAATAATGCCGACGATTCTCAACAGGTGCGAAACAGCTGTACCGTGGTTCCCGGTTTCTCAGCTGGATATTATGGTAACTCAATATCCAATATCCCAATGTCCACAGCAGACAGTCATACGGTTTATACTTCTCAGTACAACCGTGACATTTCGCCAAACAATGGTCTAGGCCGGAGACGTACGGTCACAGTGCACTTGTGACTATCGTTGACAAGAAAAACGCAAACATCAAGAAGCCCAAAATTTGCAAGTTGTCACTTGAAGAACGATTGACAAGCAGAAACGAAAAATTCTGTTCGTAATAGCTGTAACAGTAGTGGTAGTCTGGAAATAAACAGGATATTTTTTTACAAAGGACTCTACTCACAAGGTTGCTGAAAACTCTTCGACAGCCCACGACCGGTTTCGCTCTTCTTGGGACTCATCAGGTAAGCGCAGTTCCCGAGTTTCCGTCAACCTTATGTTCTACTTGGACAAATACCTGCAACATGTACTTCGTTTTCAGTAGTATGGTGTATGTCGACCGACGTCAGGTATAAGCGTCTTGTCTTGCTGTGAATAACTGTAACTGTTGTCCGGTGTCTAAACATCAACCCAGTAAGCCGTAATGAGGTAATCCCCTCATAAATTCAAGGAAGCTGTTTCATATGCCGGCTTTCGATGTCCGTGATGTGAGAAATCCGCTTAGATTTTGCTGCCGCTGTCTACCAGTGCAAGTCTTCTTTGAAAGACGCACGTAAGATACCAGTTCGGCCATACACCTCGAACCGTTTAACATCGACCTGCATAGCCCAAGCGACACCTCGGGTGTTTGGTAGTCCTGAAGCAATCGCTGGTGGTGTCTACGGAAGACGGTTTCACTCAGTCCTAGGGCTTTACGGGACTGAATTCCGGAAAAGTTTCCTTTGTGCTGTTCAATTAACAGGTTGAAATAAGATGAATGCAGCTTAGTGGACTAAACGGCGTTTAGTACGATATACGCTCTAACGCACCGCAGTTCGGAAACAGGGAAAGATGGTCTCCGTCCAGACCGCGGCTACTTCAATCACCAGTTGGTAGAGACACTGATTCCGGAAGGTGGTGTGAATGCCCAGATCACCACGAAAAATTGATGATCAACTCCAAGATGACTCCCACCGAACAGGCACAAGAAAGCAACTGTCGTAGTTATGTGCTGAACACCATTTGCTTACAGACACTACAAAATTTCACCACAAACCCTCACACCAAGTATCTGATAGCCACCAAACGAACCGTGGACTCAAATGCACCATCAACTTTTGGGGGATGCCAATCAAACCATGACCATGGAAATGTGCGGGCGCGGATCAAGCCGCATTCCCCCGACGTACGCCAGTTGATTCAACGCTATTCAGTTGATCACCTCCGAAGGACAATATGGAACTCGACGACTTACAGAATTGAAACGGCACAGCGACAATAATGGCGAACTGGAGGATAAGCGGAGGTGAGAAGCCTTTGATACCATGCCCGGGGGTCATCTACACCACTTAATTAACACTGGATATTTTCAAATACAGCAACCCTTATCGACAATGAAAAAATTTTACCAGCAACAAACGACTCTAATGATGCAGACGCATCCGTAAAAGGACAAACAACGGAAAGACTAAGGATTTATAGAGAGCGCCGGTGGACAGGGACTGGCCAGGTAGAAAGGTTTTGCAGGAGGAAACGGTCATATTCTGTTCCGAATAAGCCGATCGACTGGTCCCAAGTGTGAAAACTGTCCATCAAAGCATCCGTTAATCTGCAATCCTCCTAAAAGATGGGCTGAACAGATGCCCCCCCCCCAATTCAGTCTCTAAAGGAACTACATGAACAGTCGTAAACAGTTCTAAAGCCGCAACAGGAATCCAGCGCGAAATTTTCCTGCTCAGACGAAACAAAGCGCCTGGTCAGGATGGTTTGCATCGTGCACTCCTCCAAGGTGACGAAGCCCTTATATCTAGCCTGGTGAGCGCACTGCAAATCATCTGGAGTGAGATTAAAAATCGACAGAATAAGGTACTTCGAGGCGATTTCCGTCTTCGAAAGCGGTACATTAAGGTCGTACGGAAGCCCTTGGGCACCAGTCTGGAAACCATACCCAGTTCAGCTGTAGCACCCTTTCGGTGCCTAACTGCCATGCCACCAAAAGGAAGCACAACGGCTGGGATAGTGCCGGGTTGCCCAAACCTAGACAGGGAAAGTCGAGATGCAGATGTCGGATTGGAACCACCGACGTTCGTGTTTGTAAATTCGCACTCTAACTAGGGAGCCATCTCGTATTACCCTGAGCATGTTAGTTCTCATCAACGGAAGAGTCAGAGCTGAGTTTGACCCTGGCTGAAGTTGCGTTGACTATATCTTTAGCTTGCATCAAGTGCCTGCACCGCGCTTTCGACCCCGTCAACCGACAAGGGAGTAGTATGGTTGTTGACCGGGTGGCTGTTGGTCTATTCGTCAAGCTTGGCAATCAACATGCAAACATTTCACCACCAAACAGGAGATATCATCAGTGCGTAGTTGGGCGGGCCCCATCAACAGATCAACAAACGCAGCCAAGCTTCCAGTATTTTGACACATTCCCTTATTATCATCGAAAATGAAGTAAGCTAATCCTGGTAACTGACTGTCTGGTTGATCACAGCTTCAAGGGTACCCACGAACCTTGCTCTGCAAATAATATAACTGCTGTAGTAAGGAACGCTCATAAAGTACCTCCCATCAAATCCAGTGAAGTCAAATTAGAGGTGAGATTACGTAAACGGGTCCGATATACAAATAGGTCTCGGAGGTAGACGAGCCGCATGTGAAATTCCAGAGCCCCCAGCTGTACTGACTGTCCGAGATGTGCGCGGGCCTCATCATCATCATCATCAAAGACAGCAACATTAGTGTAGGCACTGATGCTTCACTTCCATACAACCATAAGGTTCGTCTAGTTGTATATATATATATATATATATATATATATATGAAGGGCTATGTATAACGGCTGTTACGGGAAGTGGCATAAAACACAAAAAAACA